AAAAGAAAAGAAAAAGTAAAAAACAAAAACAAAAACAAAAAAACCTGTAGTCAGAAAGGAAGTGTCAGAAAAAAACAACAAATCTGTAAATCATTAAAAATGTAGAAAATTTGAACATAACTAATTTAACCTAATTGAAAATATGGAACACTACATCTACTGAAAGAATACACATTCTTTTTAAATGCACATGGACAGTTTAACCAAAGCACATCATATATTAGATCATAAATCAAGTTTCAAAAATTGTCAAAGAATTTAGAGTATGTTTTCTAATCACAGAGGAATTAAACAGAAGCCAATTATAAAAAAGGTAACTAGAAAATTCCTAAATGTTTGGAATTAATATACTCTGAAGTAACCTATGAGTAAAGAAGAAATCAGAAAACTGGAAAAATTTTAACTGATTTATACTAAAAACATAATACATCAAAACTTGTAGGATGTAGCTAAAGCTGTGTTTATAAAGAAATGTATAGCCTTAAATGCATATATTAGAAGAGAAATAAAGCTTTGGAAGAGGTAATTTCACTGCCCCTAGGATCAAGTTAAAATTCCTACTATGGTTACAAAGTTCTGCATGGTCTGCTCATGCTCACGTCTTGGAGCTTCCCCTTTTTCTCTCTTCTCATTCACTACTCTCCAGCCATACTGGCCTTTTTCCAATTCCTTCAGTAAGTTGAACGGCTTCTTGTCTCAGGGCCTTTGCACATACTAATCTTTCTGTTTAAAATGCTTTTCTTACCACAAATGCTTTTCTTAGACATTCTTTCTAATTCAAACTTTCTTTTCACTCATTGCTATAATTAATTAACTGGGTAATTGCTTGTTGTGCAATTAGTTTTAAAACATTGTTTATCATTCCCCAAATGTTATAAACTCCTTGCTGGCAGGCACTGCAGCTGTCTTGTTCATCACTGTGACTCCAGGGCCTAGCATGGTTTCTGGCAAACAGCAGGCACTCTATACATGTGTATTAAATGAATGAATGAATACATGGACATCTAGTTTACCATCTAAGCCAAAAGTTGTTAAAAGATACTTATGGACTTGGAAGAAAACTCCTCAATATTATTGCTATGGGTAGTTGGCATTTATTTCTATGACATTTATGATATAATTTATAATATTTGCTAATCCAAGAAATATCTCAAAGATTTTTTTCTCTCAATGCTTAAGTTAAATAATTTCTAACTGTATACTGCTTCCTGTTTACTGTATTTGGGGATAGTGTTTTTGTAAACTCAATTTATATATCAAATCTTTTCTACTCTGTACCCAGCTAGGTGCTGCAAAAAAGTGATTCAAATGACTGCTGTTATTAACAGTATCTTATCCCATTCAGGCCACTATAATAGAGTACCATAGACTGGGCAGCTTATAAACAATAGATGTTTATTCCTCACAGTTCTGGAAGCTGAGAAGTCTAAGATCAAGGCACTGGCTGATCTGATGTCTGGTGAGGGCCCATTTTCTGGTTCATGGATGGTGTCTTCTCTCTGTGTCCTCAACATGGTGGAAGAGGAAAGGGAGCTCTCTGGGGTCCCTTTTATAAGGGCACGAATCCCACTCACGAAGGCTCCACCCTCATGATCTAATCACCTTCCAAAGGCCCCACCTCCTAATATCGTCACATTGGGAGTGAGGTTTCAACATATGAATTCTGGAAAGACACAAACACTTAGTCCATAGCAAACAGTCACACGCTAATATCTACAACAGCTGTTGACATCCCTTTCTATGTGGAATCTTACTCAATTGTCACTTAAACAGTGTGTCCTGTTTGTTTTGTAGGTGAGGAAACAGAGGCCTGTAGAAGGAAGTGACTTGCTAAGGGGTGGGGCTGAAGTCTGAGCCCAGTTAGAGTCCAAAGCTCAGGCAAGCTCTGAGAGCTCCACCCTGCTGCCATCTTACATTTAGGCAAGGCCTGCAAGGGACAGAAATGACACAAAGACAAACAAAGGAAGAGCAACCCCAGCCCTGCCACAGAACCAGCAGTGACCATGGACAAGAGGAGGAGTTATTTGACCTCTCCAGCCTCAGTTCTTTACCTGTACATGAAACTAACAAGAGTAACTATAGAGTTGAAATGCCTTGCAGAGTACTTATTGCTTAGTAAATATCAAGGGATGCTGTAAACAAACAAAACCCCACTTCTCTCAAATTAAAAATACATTCACATCCATCCCATCTTGCCTTCAGAGGATATGAGGATGAGAAAGGCTATGACAATAAAGCCACATTTACAAAAGCAGGGGCTGGTGGGGCAGGAGTCCCCACTCTCAGGGATGGTGGGCCACTTGGCAGGTGACAAGCATTATGGTTACTGACAGAAAGCTGCCTGGCTTCTCCCCCAGTGCATCTTCTCCTTGGCAGGTGGGTCCCGGCTCCAGGTATAGAGGGAGGGGCTGTTGGCCCTCAAAGAAGCCGCTCAGGTAAGGAGAGGGCAGCAGCTGTGGCCGGCCTATCTCCAGGGATCACATCCATGCTGTGGTTGTCACTCAGCAGCCTCTTTGATGTGGCTGCCACCACAGCTCTCCCTCTCAATGTTCTGTGATTCCAAGTATTTCTCAGCCCCAGATGAACAGGACATACTGGGGGGAGCCCTTTAGAAACAGGCTGAAAGCTGGCTATCAGTAAGGGCAGGGTGTCTGTGTGCAGGGTGGCTCACACTCTGCAGGGCAGTCAGCACCCTCCACTCCTGGATGCAGGCAGCCTTGGTGCTCACTCACTCAGGCACTGTGAGGTCCCAGCATCAGCAGGACTGTGCTTCTACCTTAACACCTGTCCTTGTCTCCATCTGCCTGCCGGAAAATTCTGTTCCTCCCAGGCTCCTAGTATTGCTACAGGACTTGAAATTTCAAGATAATTGGCTTCCTTTTCTTTCATTCTTTCTTTTTTTTTTTTTTTTTTTCCTGAGATGGAGTCTCACTCTGTTGCCCAGGCTGAAGTGCAGTGGCGTGATCTCGGCTCACTGCAACCTCTGCCTCCCAGGTTCAAGTGATTCTCCTGCCTCAGCCTCCCGAGTAGGTGGGATTACAGGCGCCTGTCACCATGCCTGGCTAATTTTTGTATTTTTAGTAGAGACAGGGTTTCACCATGCTGGCCAGGCTGATCCCCAACTCTTGACCTCAGGTGATCTGCCTGTCTCGGCCTCCCAAAGTGCTGGGATAACAGGTGTGAGCCACCACGCCCAGCCAAATTTCAAGATAATTTTTCCATACCCAAGCCCATTCAGAAATGGCTCTGCCACAATATATAGTATCCCCATCAGCTTTACGTGTTTTGTGTCAAAAACACAAAGTGAAACCCCATCTCTACAAAAAATACAAAAATTAGCTGGATGTGGCACATGCCTGTGGTCTCAGGTGAGGTGGGAGGATCACCTAAGCCCGGGAGGTCAGGCTGCAGTGAGCCACAGTTGAACCACTGCATTCCAGCCTGTGTCACACAGTGAGACCCTGTCTCAAAAAAAGACCCCAAAACCACCCCACATTGTTCCCTGTCCTATTCTGTGCCTTTGGGTCTATGCTGACTGTACATCTGTCTCCACTGTCCTTCCAGCTTTTCACAGTTCTCTGCACAGCTGTTTTTATAAGTATCATCCAAACCCGTCTTTGACACTTCTTTCTCATGAAGCCAGACCCATTACTCACAATTCTGTGCCTTGAGGGCTGCAAGGTGAATTGCAGGCCTTCCCAGGGAGTGAATGGAGTTGGTGGTAGCTCCTTAGCTAATTTATGAAGGTCTCTTAGGTCCACAGAGACCAGCTTCACACAGAGAACCCATAAGACCCAATTCCCTCCTGCAGGGATCACTTTCTAACCTTCCTGGGAACTGTACTATTGACCGAGCAGAGCCACATTGGTACTGGACACACTGTGAGCACCTTTCTGCTCCTGTGACATTCTAGCTGAGTCCTCAATGGACAGCACAGGAGCACCACAGACAGGGGATGGAGCACTGGCACTTAGGACTGTGTGACCTGAGCACCTCTGGGCCTCAGTTCCTCTGAGCATGAAGTGTGAGCCACTCCGAGTATGAGCGTGCACAGGGTGCACTGCACGTACCAGGCACAGGAAGCACTGAGAGGGGACACCTGACTGTGAAAACCTGTCCATAGCCAGACGGGAGAAGAGCCAGTAGCACCCCTGCCCCAACTCCCTCTGGGGCCTGACGGCCAGCTCCTCAGCTAGCCAAACAAGGAAAGGAGCGCCTGCTCACCGGATACCAGGCCCTGAAAATAACTCTGCAAGTCTATCCCAGCCCCACTCCAATTTGCCAAGGAGCTAGAGACGAACTGAGTGCTAATTTGGCCAATTACAGATGACCAATGAGTACCTCAGATCCAGGTGAGAGAGCTGAGGAACAGATGGTTGTGTGTGTTATTAGGGAAATTTGAAGTTAAGCAGGTGGTGGCAGGTTTCAAGCCACATGTGGGAGTTTTTGCAAATTCGGGCCAAGTTTACAAAGAGTAATAAACAAATTCTTACTTTATTGTGCTCTCCATCTTCGAAGCTGCCTCATGGAATTGCTGTGAAGACAGTTTATACATCTCAGCATTCTACAAGGAGAAAAACAGAACTGGTTACCAAAGACTAAAATTTCCCTCTGCTCCCTCATGGGAGACAACCACATTAGAAATCGACAGATGCTAATTTCTTGACCGGCATCAAAGCCGACTGGTGATTAAGCCACAGCTTGGGTTCCAGCTCCAGCACGCACGGCCACTGCCACAGAATCCTAGAATAACAATGGCTGCAAGTGCGTTATGAGATCCTCTAGCTCAGGGGTTGGCAAACCACAATCCACAAGTAAAATCCGGCCTGCCACCTGTTTTTGTGAATAAAGTTTTACTGGCACACAGCCACACTCATTTGTTCATGTATTGTCTGTGGCTGTTTCTGTGCTACAATGGCAGAGTTGAGGAGCTGTGACAGAGATTACATGGCCTATAAAGCTTAAAATACTATCTTTAAGGAAAAATACTGCTGAGTACTGATCTGGTCCAACCCTTATTTTATAGGTAGATTCTCCTTCCCAGAGAGGTGAAGTGACTTGTCCTAGGTCACACAGCAATGGGGCAGTGTCAGGACTATAACCCAGGTGTCTGGATTCCCAGTCTGGGACACACTCTGCTGCCTACCCCAACCACCCTGCTCATCACAACAGCAACCATCTGTCCAGAGTGTTACGGGGAGCATCCGCAGGCACACACTTAATTTGTCCTGAGATTACCAGGTACGTGTGTGCCTACAGACCCGGGTTTGTGGAGGGAAAGCCCAGGCCTGAGAGCAAAACACAGCTGGGTTTAAGCCCTGGTGCCACCACTGTGTGGCTTTGGGTAGGTTATGGAACTTTGCTGTGGCTCAGAGGCTAGCTGCTCCAGGCCACAAAGGCCCAGGCCCACATCCTCCTTTCTCTGTGAAGCTCCAATACCTTCGCATGTTCCAAGGGGAGACTGGCATTAACACATCTGCTAGCTGCCTCCTGCTGTGCTCCGGTGGGAGAGTGGTGAAGCCCACACATGGATGTGTAGGCAACAGGGAGAAGGCCAGCCTTGGGCTGACTCACACAGAAAGCAGTTTCGGAAATGAAACAATCTGAGGTGGTACAGGGCCTGTGGTCAGACCTCCCCAGTGTGGGTGAGGAAGGCACAGCAGATGTCACATGGAGTTGGCTTGAGGTCAGACCCTTTACAGACCCAATCACATCTACTCCTCAAAACCTCACACAGACACTTTGGGAGGCCGAGGTAGGTGGATCACCTGAGGTCAGGAGTTCAAGACCAGCCTGGCCAACATGGTGAAACCCCGTCCTTACTAAAAATACAAAATAATAATAATAATTAGCTGGGGGTGGTGGTGGGTGCCTATAATCCCATCTACTTGGTAGGCTGAGGCATGAGAATCACTTGAATCCAGGAGGCGGAGGTTGCTATGAGCCAAGATCGTGCCACTGCACTTCAGCCTGGGTGACAAGAGCGAAACTCAGTCTCCAAAAAAAGAAAAAAAGCCTCATATGGGCAGTGTGATTATCCCCATTCTACAGATAAGCAAACAGGAGCTTCAGGCCTCAGGTACCCTCTGCAGGCACAGATCAGTCAGCCCCTGAAACAAGCTTACATGGCAGTGAAGGGACTGTGAAGCTGCAGAGCTGCACTGCCTCACACATCTGCAGGCAGTCCAGTATTCACCAACACTGTCCCGGGCAACAGGGTAGGGACAGAGACACATCAACTTAGGGCCTCCCTCCCACTCTGTGCAGACAGCCTTATGCCACAGCCTGGGTGGGGATTGTTTAGCTCTGTCTGAAGCTCCCCTTCATGAGACATCACCAGGAGATGCCATGGACCACAGACCCACATTTAGCTCTCTCTGCCCACTAGGCACACAGCTAGCCTGGCTGAAGCTGGACAGATGTGAAGAAGTGAGAGGTGCATAGAGGCAGAGCCACCCAAGGAAAGCATTTCCTGTGCACCATGGACCCCCTCAACCTTCTGCAGGGAAAGTAACTGAGGCAGGGATAGAGCCCTGCCTCTAAGGCCACAGGGCATGGAAGACAGGTCCAGATGGAAACCAGATGGAAGCCCCCTGCTCCAGTCTCACCCCAAGGACTCACCTGCTACACCGTGGCCTCAGAGAAGTGCTGACTGAGAGGCAAATATGGAAGGTGAGCTCCTGGCTCATATGATGAGGAAGATGTACCAGGTGTTGGCATTCTGCCCTGGGCTGGGCCGGGGGAGTAGGGGAGGCCTGGGGGCCACTTCTGGGCCTTTCACCCTCCACTGCCCAGTGAGCTTAGGCAAGTCACCTCACCGCTTCTCACCTCTGAACCAAGGAGGTAACGAATGCCTCCTCCCTCTACGGCTACCAGGAATGCCAGCTGGGAAATGCCAATCCTCCCGGCATACAGCAGGCACAAAGTAAACACAGGTTTTCCTTCCACCACAGCCAGCCGCTGCCAAAATGCCCTGCAAGAGGGCTCCAGTGTTCTCTCTAGAGCCCTCACATTCAAATGGGAGATTAGGTCTTTGCCTCAACCAGTCCAGTATTCACCAGCACTGCCTGTCCTGGGCGAGGGGGTAGGGACAGAGATATAACAACTTCGGGCCTCCCTCCTTCCACAACAGCCTGGGTGGGGACTGTTTAGCTCCATCTGAAGCTCCCCTTCATGAGACCTCACAAGGAGACGGCAGGCACCACAGACCCACATTTTGATTTTTGCTTTGGCATATGCTGGCAGTGTTCTTTGGGTAAGTCACTTCTCTTAACAGCAACACAGGGTATCACTCAGCTTGCAGGTGGCAGATAGTAAGCCTGGCACACAGTACCCACCTCAGCCCACCACAGCCACTGAATTTTCCAAAGCTAAAATGTGCCTCTTCATAAGCCCCACCCCCCCCCATTCATCCTGGCCTACTTCCTTTCCCACAAAACAACCTTGTGGCTCAGACCTTCTCTTTGAGTCAAACCCCTCTTCCTGTGGCTGTGCCACAGGGCTCCTGAGTGTCAGGTCACTGTCCTGAAGGCCCAGGCACCTGTTGCTGACCCTCTCAGAGCGTACATCCTTGGCTTGGGCCCAGCCTGCTGTGGGCTTCAAGGGACACTCAGAGCCTGTGCTCAAGATGCCATACTGCCTGGAACAGCCTGGCCCCAGTGAATTTGGATAGCACTTGGGTTTGATTGCAAGCTCACTTTGAACATGTGGTCAACTTGATTTGTCACAGGAAGTACCCACAGGCCAAGAAGTGGTGGTGATTACCCCGCTGCAGCTTCCTCTATTGTTTCTCAGAATGACTCAGAGAAATTCCCCATCCTGTCCTGTCTTGACCCGCCTACCCACCTCATCTAATCTGCTTGAGCAGACCTACAGGGACGGATGTCCTCACAACCGCAGCTCCCTTGGCACTCAAAGGTCTCCGGTCCACAACTTGGAGTACGGAGCCGGCTTCCTGTGTTCACAAAGCTGCTCATCCACCAGGCCTTTCCAAGGCTGCTGGAGTGGACCCAGACTTCCCTCTTCTGGGAAGGGCAGGGTACTCTGTTGGACTCTCAGCCAATCACCAGGTCAGGGCTTCTAGAAGGACTTGGCACTACCAACGTGCGTACTGAGAACCCACCAAGTACCAGAGGGTTCTGAGACAAGTGCGGCTTGCTCCCTGGCCTCAGGGAGCTCTGAGATGATGGCATCATAATTTCAATGGGGCACAGCCAGTCATCCCAGGTGCTGTGGGGCACAGGTTATGTGTGAAAGGATAGCCTGGCAGAAGCCCTGGGTCAGACTGACTTTTTGGGAGCCAATACCTGAACTGAGGTTTAATCTTTTTTATTTAAACAACGTTTTTGAAAAATACTTACATATGGTTTTAAAAAACAAAAGTGGAATGCATGGAGGGTGTGCGGTGAACAGTGAGCCTATGGGCTGGCCTGGACTCAGCCCCGTCCCTACTCCTCTGTGTACCCCGTCCCATGGGCGAGGTGCTATGCATGCATGGGCACATGTGTGAGTAAGCACACACGTGTGCCCCACTTGTTCCTGACACTGACTGTATCAAAGCAGACACAATGTGCCACACCTCATCTTTCCGCTGATCCTCAGAGGCCTCACCCACTCCTCCGGCTGACCAGCACTCAGTAGTAGGGATGAATACTCTGTAGTGTCATTCCTTGAGTATCATTCACGCAGCTCCCCATCCTCGTACAGAGGTCGTTCCTAGTCTTCTACTACTATAAACAACGCTAAGAGGAACATCTTGGTATCTAGAACTTTGTGCATAAGTATATTTGTAGGGAACATTCTAGAAGTCAAATTCTTGGGTCAAAGGGTGTTTCCATTTTAATGAATTTTTAAGGATGAGCAGAAATGAGCCAAATGAGAGGGAGGTCTCCTGAACACAGGCAGCAGCGCGAGGAGCCTGGGGGCTGCCACAGGGCTGTGCATGGGGCAAGAGACGCCACTACTGTTGCAGAGGCACGGGGCAACGGCCGGGAGGAGATGTGGACAATGCCAGCTGCAGGCTCAAAAGCTTGGACTGCACCCCATGGGCAATGAGGGTGGCGAAGGCTTTCCATTTTCAGCAAGGGAGTGGCAGGGAAGATTTGCGTGGTTTTGTTTTGAGGCAGGGCCTCACTCCTGGCTGGAGTGCAGTGGTGTGATTGCAGCTCACGCTAACCTCGACCTCCAGACTCAAGCTATCCTTTCACCTCAGAGCCACCCGTGTAGCTGAGACCACAGGCATGTGCCACACTGCCCAGATAATTTTTCTATTTTTTTGTAGAGAGGGGGTACTGCCATGTTGGCCAGGCTGATCTCGAACTCCGGGGCTCAAGTGATCCACCTGCCTTGGCCTCCCAATTTGTTGGGATTATAGGTATGAGCCACCGTGCCCAGCTGGCGTGTGTGTGTGTGTGTGTGTGTGTGTGTGTGTGTGTGTTTTCTTTTTGAGACAGAGTTTCACTCTTGTTACCCAGGCTGGAATGCAATGGCACGATCTTGGCTCACCACAACCTCCACCTCCTGGGTTCAAGCAATTCTCCTGCCTCAGCCTCCCAAGTAGCTAGG